GCTCATGGACAACTGGAAGTCCAAGTTGGACACGTTAGCATCTGACCACCAGAAGTCTCTGGAGGACCTGAAAGCCACATTGAACACAGGCCCTGACACCCAGCACAAGGAGATCGTGGAACTGAAGGCAGTGGTGGAGAGTATAAAGATGGAGCACCAGCTTGAGTTGGAGAACCTGAAAGCAAAGCATGACATTGAGACAGCTGTTCATATAAAGGAGAAAGAGAGTCTCAAACTGAAGTTGCAGGAGGCTGTGGATGAAGTGGAAAAAAGCAACAGCAACTGGAAAATGCAACTGGAAACCAAAAGCAATCAGCACCTTCTTGAGCTCCAGGATGTGAAGGACAAGTGTCGAGATGCTGAGCTGAGGGTGCATGAACTGGAGAAACTTCATGGTGAATATAAAGATCAGACACAAGCGATAGCTTTCTTGAAAGAGCAGATTTCTTTGGCTGAGAAGAAGATGTTGGACTACGAAACGTTACAGAAAACAGAAGCCCAGAGCAAACAGGAGATCCACAGATTGCAGGAAAAAGTGCTTGTCTTAGAGAACAAGCTGCAGTCCATGGAGGCCCTGCATCCTTCTCAGCACGCAAATGTATGACTTCTGGGTCGTTTTGCTTGTTTATCACCACTGTTAGTACCCTTCCTAGGAGCAGCCCTCAGCTGCTCCCTCGTGCAGTTTTCTGAGGTTTTCATGCCTCAAAGTGTCTGGATGTTTTTACCTTCCATTGATAGTGCTTTTCCTGCACTCAGTCTCCACGCTGAAGGTGTCTTTCCGCTCTTGGTACCGTTAGAAGAAATAAGAGTCAAGAGAAGCATGTGGGCCACGTCTGGGCTTGAAAGCACGAGTGCTGTGGCAGCAGAATAGGGCTGTTGTGGTTGGGCAGGGGTGGGCTCTCATCCCGAGCGAGCAGCGTTCTTACCTGAAAAAGTATTTCTACAATTACCGCTGGCATCCTCCAAGGAGATGCAGCAGCCTTAGTGTGTTATTGAGCAAGGTCCTTTAGGGGTAGGTGGAGGGCAGGGTGGTAGAATAGTCGTTGTCCATGCTGAGATAGAGCATGTAGCTCGCTCAACATGTGGAGCGTGGTTTGGGCCCCCTCAGTTAGGGGGCTGAGCTGATGGGACTGGGTGGGAGGTGCGTGCCAGCAATGCGGCGGAGGCAGTGGGGAGGCTTCGCAGCATGTCTGGGAGACCCATGGAAATGTTGACTTTGAGGACTGGTAGTGGAAAAGCTGCTAGCAACGGTCAGGATGGCACCAGGCTGGGCAAATAAAGTGCCTGGTTGAATGCGGGTCCTGAGCCTCCCTGGGAAGGCTAGAATAGAAGCAGTAGTAATATGAAGAGGTGAATTTTCTGTGGCCTTTGTGGCTTTTTACATCATCCTAATTTTTTTTTTGTGACTGTTTGCGACAGGATGCCATCCTGCCTTCGTGGCGTGGCACAGGGACACACGGCTTTGCACCAGAGCGAGGGGGGGAGATTGCGGCTCGTGGCTCTAGGCTGCACCCCGGTTTGTGTTTGGATTTTGCACGAGAAATGAGCAAAAAGCCAACTTACAACTCATCCCTGTGGGGATGCAGAAAATGAAAATAAGCCATGAAATGCGCACGTTTTGAGAATACTCATTTGAAATCTGTCGCTGGCGATGTAGTCGCAGCTCCAGACTGAGGTGCCAATGAAGTGAATACAATGCCTATGTTTAATTTTGCCAACGGCCCCAATGAAATCAGTTGCACCTCTGGGCAGCAAAGTCAGTTCCTGTTGGCCAAGTCGGAGCTTCGTGCCTGCAAAAAGGCACGCTCAACTGGACAGGAGAGGCAAAAGCCCAAGAAAGAATCTACAGCATTAATGGTGTTTCAAGGGTTGCTCAATGTGTTTCTTCTAGTAAAGAGAGTCGGGAACAATAAGTACAGCCAAGGCCCTGGGAAAAGCGGGTTGTTATTACAACATGTCACATGTTATAGCCGATATTCAAACAGGAATGAATGTGAAATAAGAAGCTGGAGGGTTGTTCCAGAGCCCGTTAAATAAATGAGAGGGCTCTGGGGGACATAGATACTGGATTAGAACCAGGGAGTCTTGAAATAATTATTTTAACTATGTGTTGATTAAAATCAGGAAAATGGGAGAAGAAATGCATGGGTGAAAGCCTTGGAGTGTCATAGGACAAAATCTATTTTAAAATAACTTAGCTGATTTACTGTGACTGCAGTACTAACTGTCCAAATACTTTAAACAAACAGATGTCTTGTGACCACAAATGGTGCTCTCTTTCCTAGACCTTCAAGGGAGAACCACGACTGCGCTTCCAAAGAGCAGTTAAATAGTTTTTCTGTACCAAAAGTACCTCAGGCAGCGTATTTCCCCTTTGGGTGTGCTCCTGCTTCTCTTAGACGTATCCCGCAGCCCGCTCAGGCTCTCGGGGACCGACCTCGGGACTTTCAGTAGTGGTGACCACAGCAACTGCTTGGTCTTGGGTGTGTGCTGAGGTCCCACCGAAGGCGGCTGCTGCACGTGAAGAGGCTCGAAGGGCTGAATTGTGGCTTCTGCAATGGAAAGCTTGGCTGTGAGCTCTGTGGTCTCTGGCTTTACGCTTTTCATTGCAGTAGAAGACAAAAGAGAATGGGGAAAAGGCAGAATCCTCTATATGGACCAGCATTTGCTTTTTATTATTTTTTTATTGATGTATTCATTCTGTAGTAATTATTATTTTATCAATGTTTTATTACAGTTTTTATAACTTTGGGTACAATTAGATTCTTCAGAAGTTGAGGAACTTGTCTGATAGGTCTCAAGTTGAATGCTAAAGAGCATTTGCACCTGAATATTTGCTGTGGTTAACTGGGGGAGACTGGGCCGAAGGAGAGCAGCTTTTCCATCGCTCTGCACAAACTCTGGGGGTATGAAAGCTGGAACCAGTGCAACCACGGAAAGCCTGAGGTCTTTTCCCTCCCGGGTGAATCTCACTGTAGTGCTCAGCTGCCTGTTGTGTTTCGGCACTCTCGGGTGGTACCGGTTCGCCTTCAGTAGTACCCAGCTAGAGAAGCGACTCCTCAAAAGCCTTTGTTGCTCTCTCAGGAAGGATGTAAAACGTCGTCACTTGGGTGCAGGGTACACTTCTACTTTGGATGGGGCTTTGGTTGTTAACTTTGCTTTGAATCTTTGGGCAAAGGGCTGTTTTACATCTCATATTTTACATTTATTTCAGATGATTGAAACTAATGATATTTCAGAAGAAAAGATAAAGATGAAGCAGACTATGGAAGGTATGAAATTTTATCATTTTGTCCTGGAACACCCTGTTCTAGTGACTCCTGTGCCTTCCTTTGACTTTCTGCTCTCGCAGGGACAGCTATATGGAAGGGGCTGAGGAAGCCGTTTCATCTCTTGAATTTTGCTGGATGGCATTTGTTGTCTGGCTTCCCCCCCCCCGCCCCTAATCTGGCTGAGCAAATGCAGGGGTAGATGTTTTCACTTTTATGTAACATGCTCACCGTGCAGGTGGTGCGAGCTGGAGGCAGATCTGGGGAAATGGGCACGCTTCACAGAATCACAGACTGGTCAGGGTTGGAAGGGACCTCTGGAGATCATCTAGTCCAACCCTCCTGCCAGAGCAGGGTCACCTACAGCACGTTGCACAGGACAGCGTCCAGGCGGGTTTGGAATGGCCCCAGAGTGGGAGACTCCCCCACCTCTCTGGGCAGCCTGTGCCAGTGCTCCACTACCCTCAAAGTAAAGAAGTTCCTCCTCATGTTAAGATGGAACTTCCTATGTTCAAGCTTGTGCCCGTTACCCCTCGTCCTATCACTGGGCGCCACTGAAAAAAGACTGCTCCCATCCCCCTGGCATCCTCCCATTAAGTATTTGTATGTATTAATAAGATCCCCCCTCATCTTCTTTTCTCTAGACTAAAGAGACCCAAGTCCCTCAGCCTTTCCTTATATGAGAGATGTTCTAACCCCCTCATCATCTTCGTAGCCCTAAAATTTCTAGTAAAATTTCCATCCCATCCCTGATTGTGCAGCAGGTAAAACACAGACACTAAACGTAATTCATTCCTAGGAGGGGACTGTTAATGGTAGATATTCATGTGATTGGCTTAAGATAATGGGGGTTACTTTTTATATTAAGCTTGCTATAAATCAAATCCATCATTTTAACAAGACGTAGAATTTGTGCGCTCAGGAAATTTGTATGATGTAGCTTGGAAACTGAATTGCGCTCAGCCTCCCTCCCAGAGAGGGTAAGCTGTAACCCCCGGTCTGAGGAACAGCAGGCCTGGCAAGACTGGAGCTGGATGGCCCAGATGGTCTCTGCTGGGAGCAATGTCCTGCCACGTCGCTGTGCGTGGTGGATGCTTTTTGGGTGTCTGTGAAGGATCCAGGGCTTTTCCAACATGTAAGGTGCTTCCAAATCACGTCTTCCCTTGCTCATTCCTAGGAGACTCTCGGTTGTCTTCACTCTTCCTTAAGGTTATTTTTTTTAATCAGAAGAGCCTTATCGGTGCAGATCGCAAAGGTGATCTCTAAAGAACTAACTTGTCACAATTCAAATGGCATTTGGCTTATGGGAGCACAGCTTTTTCTCACTTCTTCACCTCTAAGGAGTCTGTTCTCTGCCAAGCCCTCGTTGAAGTCCTGCTGAGGATGTAGCCATCTAAACAGAGGTTACTGGGGGCTTTTGCAGGCTTAAACTTCACTTAATAGAACCCTCGTTTGAGTGTCCCTCCAGCTGTTTGTGGATTCAGACAGAGGTGCTTTGCCCTATTTCCACCTGCCCTCAATGCTGGCACTCTCAGTCGGCCTCATCGCTGCCTTTGCAGGTACAGGATGATATGTATGCTCTACCAAATCCTGTGCTGATTAAAAAGCTAATTCCCGCCTTGGGAGTGCATAACATAACTAGGTCCAGCATGTTTCAACACAGGATAAGCCATACATAGGATGTGCTAAAAACAGCCGGTTCAGACTTGAGCCACAAAAGCATCATACTTCAAATCTACATCTCTAAGTGAGGAAATACATCAGTTCCAGAAAACATGTCTTTTGAAACTCTTTCTGCCTTCCAGTGTGGGAGGTAACACAAAGAAATGTGCTGAAACTTCTTTTCCTTGTTTTTTATTAATGTTTTGTTCCCTTTCTTTTCCCCCGCCTTGTGGTTGCTTTCTTAAACCTGTCCGATACGGCTTCCCAGCTGTGTACACTGCCTCCTAATACCTGGATGAGATCTCATTGAGATGAAGTGAGAAACTCCGTTTCTGTCTCCTGCTGCTTCTCTGCCGATGGAGGGTACCCCCACCGTGCCCCTGTCGCACCCCGACCCGTGCCGGACACTCGATACCTCCCTGATTTGCACAAAGCATTTTCCAAACTTCTCATCTTTCTCTTTCCTTTTCATTCTCCCGCAGACCTTCAAGACAAGCTGAGTAAAAGAGACAAAGAGGTGTCGTCGCTGGTGTCCCAGACTGAAACTCTAAGGGCCCAAGTAAGTGGTAAGTTTCCCTAATCCAGCGCTGGTGGGAACGAGGTGTATCCCTACTCCTCCTCCGTACGGGGCTTGAACAAGGGCCCGGGTGCTGGAAGGGGCAGGTATAAAACATGGCACTGCCTGTCTGTTAGTGGATATTGTTGGTAAAAATTTGTTCAGGAGGTGAATAAAAACCCTGCAGAAGATATTTGTATCCTGCGAGAAGGGGGTTTTGGTCTCATTGAATGGCAAAAAAAAGTTGAAAGAGGCAGAAATAAAAGGAGCTGGGCGTGTTGTTTCTGAGATATCCCCTTAAATAGAGTTAGATGCAGAGCTAATCAAACCTGTGCTGTTAGGAGTGGGAATTGGGAATAAAGCAAAAAGCAGGAGTGTAAGTAAAGGACTAAGTGACCTTTCTTCCCCCTGTATCCTCTGCTTCTCGTAGCTTTGGAAAATAAATGCAAAACGGCGGAAAAGAAGGCCGATTCGGTGTTAAAAGAAAAGAAGAGGCTGGAAGGTGAACTGGACGCCTTGACCAAGAAAACACACGATGCTTCGGGGCAGCTGGTCCTGATAAGCCAGGAGCTACTCAAGAAGGAAAGGTCAGTGTGCAGGTCTGGAGGACGGAGCTGGAGACAGGGGGCGGTGTGTGTGTTTGTTCGGGGTGCTGGAATTTACCACCAAAAGAAATCTGAAGGTTGAATTGAAGTCCAGCCCCCGGCTTTCCTGTTCTTTACAGATGCTCGTGGGGGGATTGGGTTAAAATTAGGGGCTGTGAATTACCAGAGGGACTGCCCTTTCACTGGCTGGCTGGAGCTGCAAGACAGCTTAGTGCCCGTGTAGATGCCAAATGAAGTCCTCTCCAAGCCAGCTAAGCTGGCGCTGAAACACGGTGCCCAGTGTGGGTCCCGGTCTCTTCGCAGCTGGTGCAGTGGGGAGGACAGGAGAGCTGAAGCCCCCGAAGTGGTGGGAGTTGGGTCAGGATTGCTCGCTGGCCTTTCTTTGGACTTGTGACCGAGGTGGGGAGGGAGTGTGGCAGGACTGCAGTGGTGTGGGGGCTCTGGAAAGGTCCTCATCTTTTCATGCTGCTTCTTCCAGGAGCCTGAACGAGCTGAGAGCGTTGTTACTGGAAGCAAATCGGCACTCACCTGGGCCAGAGCGGGACCTGAGCCGGGAGGTGCACAAAGCAGAGTGGCGGCTGAAGGAACAGAAGCTCAAAGATGACATCAAGGGACTTCGAGAGAAACTGGTTGTGCTGGTGAGGGCACCGAAACCCCTCCTGGCCGTGGCCTGGGGGCTGGAGGGCTCTGTGCTGCTCATGGGGGGGTTGTAGCCCTTCGCCCTTACTCCAGGTCCTCATCCTTTCCTTTGTGCTACTGAGCATCTGGTGGAAACTTCCTTGACAGCGCCTGTGAGCTGTGGACTGGCTTAGCAGCACCTCATTAAGCAGCAAAAATGTCCATCTGTCCTTTTCCAGTGTTCTCCTGTTCCCACTGGTTTTTAGATTCGTGGATAAATACAGCTAAAATCTGTAGGAGAAACTGAAGGTCAGTCAGCTACCCCACGTTGTCTTACACATCCTCTGGTCTAGGAATAAGCAATGTCCTCTAATTCCTGTGTACTTCAGTGTCCTCCAGTGGTTGAAATGTGAATAATTTATTTGAACTTGACTGGGAATAAATTGGAGCTGCTGCTGGTTGCATTTGATAGGATTGCCTTCAGAGTTGTGCTCTGACCCCATCTACTGTTGAAATCAAAACACAGTTATATGAGTTACTGTGGATTTCGACTTTGCTTAGTGTCTGTAGTTACTGGTTTTAATCTAACGTGCTCCTATTTTCCCTTTGCTTTACAAGGACAAGGAAAAGTCTGTAACAGATCAGAGGCGATACTCCTTGATCGACCCCTCGTCGGAGTCAGAAGTGATCCGGCTGCAGCACCGGCTCGTCAGCACGGAGGATGTGCTACGCAATGCGCTGGAGCAGGGCCACCAGATGGAGAAGCTCATGGAAGCGATGAGGCTCTCCTCCGAAAAAACACAGGTAGCTTAAAACTAAGAAAAGCCTTGCTAATTGGTAATTGCAGATCCTTTTGTGCTCTGCAAGACTGATTGCTAAATGTGGTGGTTTGGGTAAGGTTGCAGCGTGAGTAACTGTTCTCTGTGTACAGTGATGTGCGGCTGCATATCCTTGCATACAGGCACGTTATAATATAAAAGTTGAGGGTTTCGGCCATCCCTGTTCTTCAAGAGGTTTATTTCCTTGCAGTCTATGAGCAGAAACTTTGGAGGCGACTGGGAAACCGTTTTCCATTTCTCTAACTAGTTCCTGGAGGCACCTCTGTATGTGATCTTGCTGATGGACTATGAATGTTCCCATTCCGGTCGCTATCTTCCCTTCCCAGCTTCCTCTGGTCCCTCCTTGTTTCTTCTGAAAAAAGCAAAACCGGTTCTGTTATTTTTATTGCAATCTTTTTGTTGTGAAATAGAAGGCTGCAAATAACTTGACTGTGCACATTTGGCTTTTTCTGTCTCCTACCCGTGCTGTCTAAGCCCTGACTGATTCCTCCTGTGAAGTGACCTGCCCCTTTGTGCTTCATGTCCTTTTTTATTCTTCTAGCTGTATTTTCTCTTGTGTCTGCAACCAGGTCACGGCTTTCAGAGCCACCAGTGCTACTCTTGTCCTTGCTCTTTTAAATTCTTAGCTGAAAAATGTCTTTCTCATGCAGTAATGAGCTACAATTCACAGCAGATACCTTAGGACAGTACAGAACAAGCCACTAGGCACGGAGAATGGGCAGAGAGCTTGCTTTCCCTGATGCAGGTGCAGATATGTTGTGGTAGGTAGTCTGAGGGTATCAAGTCTCCTCCTCAACACGTCATTTTCTTCTGCACCGTTTGCAGATACACCAAATGCCTGTTTGCATTGCAGTAGTACTTGCAGGGAGGCAGCAAGGAGAAGGGTACACGGTAAAAATTGCAGCCCTGAAAGCTCTGCTGGCTCAGCTGAGCATCTGTGTGTTGCAGACAGTCTCTTTATATCCCGCAGTGCAGCGGCAGCAGCCGTCTGCCAGCACCAGACAGGACAGCTGTAGTCGTGATGACAAGTTTGTGGCAGTCCAAGACATACTATAATCCTGTCGGTACCTCCGGAGTGACTTTAGCTTCTGCTGTAATTGCTGTGTGTCAAACGAGAATGCATCATGACAACCTCATCTGCTATAAGCTATGGGAGGGGTGGGGAAAGTTATTCTCCATTTGCTTTAATGCCAAGTCCCTCGAGAACAGGAAATCTTCCCTTTCGCGTTCCTGTCTCTAGGTGGTAATTATTTCTTCCCCAACTGTAGAAAATAACTAATCTTACATAAAGTGAGTTGGAACGGACCTTATGAGGTCAGCTAATCTATCCCTGGTATTACTTTGATACTTTACGCTTAAGAAATCTTAGAGATACGACAAGATAGTATTATGCCTTCAACTACAAACCGTGGCACGAAGAGACAGACGGAGGATTATTGCGGGAAGCGAGGCTTCAAACTTCTATTGATGTCAGCTTTTTAACGCGCCTGGTTACAAGGAAGCCTGGATCAAAGCTCCCTAGTTTCGGTATGATATCTGTTCCTCCTTCCCCTTACGAAGGGGAGTTGTTAACCAAGGGCTTTCGGGCTGAGCCTGAGCATGTTGTTGGCCTAAAGGGACTCTGGTGTGATAGGGAATTGATGGTTCTTCCCCCCCCAAAGCCACGTTTCTGCTGTAACGCGTTCTGCGCTACCTTCTGACCTCCCATCTCCTCTCTGACAGCAGCAGCTGTTGCCCAGGGATCTGCCTTGGCATCGCTCTCCCTTTTGTCTGCAAAGCCTTCACTTCGCAGCACGCTCCAGAAGGAAATCTCTAATTACCACAAGCTGCTGCTGCTGCTCTCCCTTCGCAGCCTTCGTCAGCCACCGCGCTCTGCGGTCCTCGATGCGCCTGGCCGGCCTTGCTGCCAGACGAGGAGGGGCAGGAGCTGGGGGAGCGCAGTGGCACTGGGTCTTCCTCTCGTTGTGGAGTAATTGCTGCCTTGCTGTCTCCATGCCTGCAGCTGCAAAGTGTCTGTCCCGTAATAGAGGAAGAGGATCTTTGCCTTCTCCATGTCTTGGGAGACCCCGATCCCGCAGCTTTGCAGGAAATGACGAGGATTTGGCACTGGGGCCTTTTCTTGGAGAATCTGCAGTGATTGCTCTGGGAGTTTTTTTATTTAATATCAAGTGAATTACGCCACTTTGTGTTCATTATCGTGGCCATGTACTGAGACCAAATTTCAAACCTAATTCCTGGTATCCGATAGCTGCTTGGTGCACAGATCGGGTGTGCAGCAGGTGGGGGTGTGTTGCCTTGTGTAAGGCCTGAATCGCCTGTGGTCGTGGGTGCAGACCCAAAGCCGGGTCACTGCAGTGGCCATCCATCCAGGTAGGATTCACTGCTTGGCAAACAGTTTGGGCTCTCAAAGCAGAACTCGCTTTCAACCTCTGCCTGTTTTTCCTGCCCAGACTGAACCTCTGTCCCATAGGGTTGATTTTTATGCACCTTCGTGGTCACAGAGAGAATAGAAGCTGGGGAGCTGGGACTCCTCTAATGATGGGGTTTCAACCTTGCAGTCTTGTCTCCCCGTAATGTCTGGGTTTGCTGCCATCAGCAGTTCACCAACAACTGTGGATCTGATTACCAAGACCCAAATAATGGACATCTGGCGTGCTGTGACTTCGGGCTGCAGCTTTCTTCTCTTATTTGTGCGGGTTTTACTGTCATTTTGAAGCTGAAGGGCTCCATGTTATCCCTGCTAAAGAAACATTATAAATGTTTAAAAGTTCTTGCGCTTTCTAAAGATAGCACAGCCTGTCCTGGCTGCCAGACTTGTCCCCAGAGACGGGAAATGGGGGATGGCAAATGTCCTTTTCGCTGCTGGGATGTTCGCTGTGCCGTGTTCTGCAGCTAACGCTGCCCTTGGCTGAGGGTTTGTTTATCGGGATTTAAGTCAGAAGCGAAGAGCGGGTCTGTGTCCGTAAGGAACTTGGGGGATGTTTTGCAGCTGGGAAGGATGCAATCCGGGATGTGCGGGGATTGGGCCAGGGTGCAGGGGGCAGGAAGCTTCTTGCCAAAAGCAGAGTGGGATTTTTGTACTCTCCTCTCCTTGCGTGGAGTGGGCTGCGAAGGAAGGAGGCGGCAGTCTTGCCACGTCTCGGCGCTTGTAGGTAAAACCTCGCCGCTCTTTGTCCCTCTTCAGTATTATCCATTCTCTGTTGCAGACTGTTGGAAATTCTGGGTCTGCTAACGGGATTCACCAGCAGGATAAATCCCACAAGCAAGAGGTAAGTTATAAGCAGAATGGTGTTTAAAACAGTGACTGCTTCACGTAGTTTCTTGCCTGCTGTGCTGGGGACAGCTCTTGGACGGAGGCAGTTTGGCCAGCAAAGCTCGACTCTGCCATTCCCACAGCGACTGCGAGGGGCTCTGCACGGCTCCAGTTCCCAGCATGGTGGGAACCTCACCTCACCATTAGAACTACTTGAAGCCATCAGGAAGGTGCTAGTGAGATGCGTGCTGAGATGCGACGGGTGCTTGTTCTGGGAGATGCAGTGAGAAGGGAGTTTCCCCTCTGTCTCCTGGGTCAGTGCCTGTATGACTCTTCTGGCAGCCCCAGGTAGAACCTGCTCTGTCTCAGATCTCTGCTGTCCCCTTTACATGGGTGGCATTTTGGGGACATGCTGTCCTGGTCTCCCATGGTTTGCATGATGTAGGGCAAGATCTGTAGCCTCAGACTTCACTTACAGGCAGGATGGCCAGCCTGAGGAAGAGGCGGTGTGGCTTACTTGGCAGAGCAGTAGGTCAGGACATGGCAAGCCTGGTGGCATCCCACTCTCTGCCTCAGTTTCCTCTTCTGTAAAAAGACCTCTGTGCTTGCCTTCGTTTTGCCTAACAAGGTCTCTTTTCTTCCAGGAGAAGCTCTGATAGAGAAGAGGTGAAGAGGACAATTTCACGCCAGTATCAGCTCCTGTGCACAGTCAGGAAAAACGATACCCCATCTGGCTTTAGCACCTCCAGAAGACCGGACACAGTATTTTCACTTTAAAGCAGAACAATGTTTATAGTGTACTAACTGATGTAATCAGGACAATCCTGGCGTCCAGTTTTCCAAGGCTCCAGGAGGGAGCAGAAAGAACTCTCTGGGTTTGGTTTTCTTACCTGTATTGGTTTTGACTGTGGAATTTGTATTGCGTGAGCTGCCCTTGTCCCACCAGCTGATGTGGGCTGGATGACAGCTGCCCCGAATGGTGGCTGAAGTGTCAGTGAGTCCCAGTAAACCCCACAGGAGAGCTGCAAAGGGATTTCCTTGTGGTGTTCAACTCCAAAGCACGTGCCCAGAGGCTGCGCGCTGCCCACGTGGTCTGTCCCTTCCCTTCCACCCACCCTGGTGTCTTGAAGACCTGCACAAGCGAGTGAAACCTGCTGGGCTGACTGTTCCTGCGTAGGCTGAGGAAGATGGGGACGCGTTTCCCTCCTCGCCTTGTAGAAGACATCGCTGTTCTAGAGCACGGAGGCTGCACTTAGTCCTTGTATCATAGCATGTCGTGGGAAATCATCCAATTTCAGAGGGATATTTATTTCCTTTCTCACCCGTTGCTGTTTGGGAAGAAGCTGTGGTGGCTCTGAGTTTGGGGTCAGACACACCTCGCTCAGGTGTGGTTGGCCTTCACTCCTGCAGAGAGATGACTGAGCAGGCCTCGGGTGCCCTGGGCCGCGGCCAGGCTGCCCAGACTGGTCCTCCTCACTCCTAGTGTGGTTTATTGGGTCTTTTTTTGAGCGCAGGACTCCATGGCTGGCCGGATCTCGGCATCGCCGGCTTGAGGACTCCACACGGGCTGCAGTCAGTGTGCGACAGATGCCTTGAGGAGGTGGCTCCCTCCTTGCCTATTTAATTTAACAGCTAATTGGGGGTTGCCTGGCCACTCTCCAGAGCTGTCCTTGGCTCTTCAGTATGATGCCCATGCCCTACTACCAGGAATGGAGGAGGCCAAGGTGCTGCTGTGAGCATTCACGCAGTACTGGTTGGTTGTATTTGGTGGGCGCAGCAATCCTGTATGCGTGACCCGAGTACGAGTGTTCGGAGCAGGAGGAATCCAAGACTGGAGCCCACACAGCTCTTGTGTCCACACACAGCAGTGCAAGCCCAGGGATGGTTTTGTTCCTTTTTCTGAAGGCTTTACTCTTCTCTTCAACTTTGCACCACAACTCCTGAGGGACATTAGGGTGGAGGAAGGGGACAGTGTGCTCTTAAAGGTGTGAGGGGATCCAGTTCAGATTCAGTGTTCAGTACCACGGGGAAGAGTCGCAGCAATATTTTACCAGACTTCCCCTAGTTAGTGCCCGACTCCTCCAGTCTTCAGAAGCTCTCGTGTTATGATGGGGCATCTGTGAAAGAGGATGAGACAGAAGAGACCACTGAGAGAGGAGATCAGAGCCAGACCACAGGCAGGTGAACATCACGGCGTGTTGGCTTCATTGCTTTTGGCCCTGATTTCCTACAAAGTTGTGTCACTTTTTCTTAGTGGGTTGTCACACTCCTCCTTCCTTGAAGGTTGGGCAGCCAGAAGCATCCCGGGAAAGACCTGGGCTTCCTGGCTGCGATTCTGCCACGAGGAGGACGTTGCTGAATCTGGGCTACGATACAATACTGGACTCTGCTTGTTTGATGTGGGATTGGTGATCTCCTCCATTGGAAGGGATGATGAGAGAGGGAAGAGGGTTCCAGGGGAATAAAGCAGGTCCGAAAACATGGCTTAAATCTGGCGTGTGGCGGGGAGAGGGAGAGCGAGCCTGGGATCTAACTGGCTGGAAGTCATTCACATGGGATCTCGTCCTGCCCTATAGAAGGGTTTCATCAGCTCTTACTAATCACCAGGAAGATTGCCACATCTCTGCCAAGGTCTGGAACTTTCCCAAGGGATCATACGGGTGATCTCCAAAATCCTCCTGGTTGGTGTGTTCATCTCCTAAGCGATTTGGGAAAATCCCAGAGGGACTGCTCGTTGTTACAGCCCACGACAGTAAATACCCCATTGGGAGCTGCTGTTTTGAAGAATTTAGGGCTGGTGTTTCCCAAAGCCCTTCCCTTTGGCTGGGTGGTCTCTGAAGTCATGGCTGCAGCTTCTGCTGGCTTGAGTGGAGCTAACGGTGCTGCTTGCAGTGCCGCCCGTCTCTGTGCCCAGGGCTTCCCAGGCACCTGCAGGTGGCAGAGCCCACGCTGGTTTGTAACTTATTTTCCCTGCTAGGTCTTCTAGTGACTTGTGACCAGCTGCCTTCACCTACGGAGGAGAGAGACCTGCACTTTCCACCTTCCTTGGGGAACCTTTGGCTCTGCGCAGGGCGGGATCCCCCAGGAGTGGTTATGGGGACCACGTATTTAGTTCCGTGAATCAGATCCGAAGTTGTTAGGGTGGCGGTGGTGGCAGAGGAGTCTCTGGCTCCTCTCAGGGACCATCCCCCGTGAGCGGCTCAGACCTGTGGCTCTCCCCGGTCAACTCAGGTGACAATGCCAGAGCAGCAGCAGATGGGTCAGAGCAGGTTTAAAGTTAGTGCTGATGGTCTTCTCTGGCTGTAAGTAGCTGTGCTGGTCCCTAAGGATCAGCCGGGAGCTGATGGCACTTCTTGGCTTTCTGTGGCGGCCGCGCAGTCTCCGTGTTGCAGGGCCGTATCGGAACGGGCAGTGGGGTACAGCCAGGTCCCCGGTGTCCCCACCCCCCTGGGGTGCAGGTCCGTGGGAGATGTTCCTCAAACAGGACTGGCTGTAGCATCAACAGGACATGTCATCACCTGTGTCATCCGGGTTTCGGCTCAAGGCTGTGAAGTGGCCAGGAGCGGAGTTGGACACCTGCCGTGTCCTCCCTCTCCAAAACTGCCACGGGCTTCCCAAGGGCACCCGCCTCCCGCTGCCCCTCTGAGGTTGTGCGAGACCAAACTAGGGACAAACTTGGAAAGGACAAGGAGGAGATTCCCCGGCCCCTCTCTATTTATTTGTAAGTTTAAGTGCTATTTTTGCCTATGTGGTGGTGTATAAAGTACTTCACTATATTTGGTCTTACTGGTTTGGTTCTTTGGGGGAGATTCTCAAGGGCATTGGAGCCGGGATTCCCCCAGCTCCTGTTGTTGGTCGCGGACCGACTCCTGTTTGTGCCTTCGCTCCCCCTTCGGCTTCAGCCTTGCGCGTATCTCAGTCCCCACGAGGTGGTACCGGGGGGGAGCTGTGTTCTCCCCAGCCCCTCTCCCAGCCCCTGTGTGCCAGGCTGGTTTCACAGCTGGAGCCGCATCCCCAGCATCGTGCCGGGGAGCGGCGGTGCTCGTGGGGAGCGGGAGGCAGCACGCTGCTGGTGGCCCCTCTCCGTGCCAAGGGGAGGACCGGCACGCCGGCTGTGAGCGCAGCCCTCGCGGCCGCCCGCGTCACCCCGGCAATTAGTGATGCTCTTCTGCTGAAGGCCGAGACGTTACCCAGCGAAAAAAAAAGTCTTTGAAATGGAGACCGTGCCATGTTTAGTGGCTTCTTCCCTAACCCTCCAGACCAAAGGGAAAAGAATCTGTCTTGGTTGGTGATTTCAGCTTTATCCTTCCTGCAGCCTCCGGAGAGCTGGAGCGAGGGGCAGCACGGAGCGACTGGTGCCACGCGTCCAGCCAAGGCTTTACAGCTCTCGCCTCCCCCCAGCCGCTGGCGGTCCCTCTGGCTTGCAGTAGAGATGCATGAGGGTTTCGTTAAAACAAAAATGATGCAAATGACACTGTAAGTCTTAATAAAGATTCCAGTACTCCATTGTTCGGCAGCTTTAGCAGCTCAACACTATCTTGTAGGGAATTATTAATACACTAAGATCCTATAGGCCTCATGTAAGTTACCAGAATAAAGACGATACTAGATGTATAAATGGATGATAACCTTTTACCCGTACGGTATGTATTACAATTTTGTAGCTTAGTCATTTTTTGGCTATCAGATTTTGTTAGTACGATATAAAAAAAAAAAAAAAAAAAGGTTTGACTGCTAATGTCTATTTTGTTATTTGATTCAGTTTTTTTTTCTTCCTCTGTACAAAAGCTGTACAAATCTCAGTCTGTGTAACTACTACAGATCTGTATTCATGTACCATTGACCCCTGTCCTGGCTTGCTGGTGTGGTGAGCTCGTTACTCAACAATAAACTCTGTGGTTGAAGTCGGGCACCCCGGGGCTGCTGGGGGGGTGTGAAGGGTGGTGTGCGGCGCACAAGCCCTGCGGTGCTGGAAGTGGCTGGGGGCAAGGCGGGGAGGGCTTTCCCTTTCCAGCTCCAACCCAGGGCTTTGGCAAGTCCCTC